AGAGGGTGGCTGGAAACTGGATTCAAGTGGCACAAAATAGAAGGAAATGGCTAGAGTTAAGGGAGGATTTTGTTCAGCAGTGGACGGTATAAGCTAAATGATGATGATGATGATGAGATGAGTCTACAGACATATCCACTGAAAAATTACTAAGTATTTGTATAAAATACTATTCTAAGTCAAAAAATGATGTCTTCACACAATTCTTAAGCTTTTTAAGTGTTGTTTCTTGTACTGCTGAAGATCTATTTCAAGCTGTCACAAATTATTTAAAATCAATTAATTTAAAAATAGAAAACTTAATAGGAATTGGCACGGACGGCGCAGCCAATTTATACGGAAAAAAACACTCATTTTTTACCTTGCTAAAGAGTCGTTTAAATTTAAATCATTTAGTTCTCGTAAAATATATTTGCCACAGTCTACATCTTTGCGCTTCGAAAGCGTCAGCAGTTTTTTCTGACGAAGTGGATTTTTTATTAAAAGAAAACTATAACTGGTTTAGGAATAGTTCTCTTAGAATGAGTAAATATAAAGACATTTATAATTTAATCAATACTGATAGTGGTAAGACATGTAGAAAATTTACACAACTATCCTCAACTCGATGGCTTTCTAGATATAAAGCTATGGAAAAAAGTCAATACTTGGAGTTAGAAACCTTTTTTTTTATAAATGCAGGAAAAGAAAAATGTCACTCTGCTAAAATATTAAGCGAGACCTATAAGGACAAAAAAAATAAAAGTATTCTTACTTTTTTACTTCCGTTTTTAAAGCAATTGCAAACTTTGAATTTATATTTTCAGAAATCCAATATTGAATATTACACTGCCTTCTGACTCTGGGATATGCAGACGATTTGGTCGTGTTAGTCAGAGGTAAGTTTAACACAACAGTAAGGGAGCGAATGCAAAGGGCCTTGAAGATTGTGGAATTATGGGTGACACGGGAGGGACTAAATATTAGTCCTACAAAGACCGTAATAATCCCCTTCACCAAGCGCAGAATACTTGAGGGACTAGGCCCTCTGAGACTCTGCGGCGATGAGATTGCTCTCTCGGGGGAGGTCAAGTATCTAGGAATCACGCTTGATACCAAACTGACCTGGAACCGACATTTGGAAAATGTCACAAGGAGGGCGGTGACTACACTAGCGGTAGTCAGACGCTTTCATGGAAAAATCTGGGGCCTTAGACCACAGATGGTGCACTGGCTGTACACTGGAGTAGTGAGGCCTTCAGTAACATATGCATCCTTGGTATGGTGGCCTAAGGTAATGCAACAAACAACAATGCTCAGCCTCAGCAAGGTGCAAAGACTTGCTTGTCTGAGCATAACAGGGGCCATGAAATCAACGCTCACTGCATCAATGGAGGCGCTTCTGGACCTTCCGCCTCTTCACATAGTGATCTAGGCGGAGGCAAGAATGGGACTTTATCAACAACAAAGTGTCTTGGGAAATAGGACAGAAACAGGACACTCAAAGATGGGAAATCCTATTGAGGGACCTCTACTCCAAATGAGATCGGACCAAATGACCCCTCTTTATCACTACCACAAACCATTCGAGGTAAACAAAATGGATCGAGGAATGTGGACAGATATAACATTCCTTCAGGATGGACTAACCTGGTATACAGACGGGTCAAAGACCGCTGAAGGAACAGGAGCTGGAGTATTTGGGGAAAGACCAAGGGCAAGTTTATCATTTTCCTTGGGTAAACACTCAACCGTATTCCAGACAGAAATCTTCGCCATTCTACAATGTGCGAGAGAAAACAATAGAAGAGCTTATTCAGATAAGCTCATCAATATATGCTCAGACAGTCAGGCGGCACTTGGAGCGCTTATGAGCCCAAAGGTATCGTCGAGACTCGTCTGGGAATGCCTAGGTGAACTGGAAGCTATGGCTCGACGGAACAGAATTAAATTATTCTAGGTGCCGGGCCACAGCGGCATCCAAGGCAACGAAAAAGCCGATGAGCTAGCTAGGCAAGGATCATCGGCATCTTATCTTGGTCCAGAGCCAGTACTGGGAATACCCAAATGTATGGCCCGTAGTGCACTAAAACTCTGGATCAGGAAAAAGCAGAATGTCCACTGGAGAAACCGACACGGGCACAGGCACAGCAAGGCTTTTATCCAAGGACCTAGCTCCAAAACCGCAAAAGAACTGCTAATGCTTAGCAGGAATAAATTGCGGATTACAACAGTCCTCTTGACAGGACATATGGCTGTCAAGTGTTACCTGAACAAGCTCAATCTGTATCAAGGAAGTCTTTGCTGCAGACTTTGCGCTAAAGATCCTGAAACAGCGGAGCACATAATATGTCACTGCGAGGCTCTGGATCGCAAGCGACACTTTTTATTTGGGAAAGCTAGGCTAGAACCGGAGGAACTATGCTCCCATCCTATCAAGGACCTGCATAAGTTAGTGCAGGGCACAGGGATAGGAGAATGGGTGCAGATATAGAAAGGGGACAAACACAATAGGCCTCACAGGTCGCAGTGTTTCCGGCAGAGGACGGCCCCTTATTGTGGGAAAAAAAAAGAGCGATGGAATTTGAACGGAATTTTTTAAATATCGAAGATTGTGATCTTGGTTATTATTTCTCTATAGAATTAGATGATAGTAATTTACTTCCAAACGAAATTTCTGATGTGAAACACAAATGCTTTCTTTTTATAAAAATCCTGTTACAAAAAGTAATAAAACGAATGCCCGAGCATTTAGAGGTTTTTCGTCAAATAAAGAATTTCAATCCAAACATAATTTTAAATCCCATTACACCAAAGTTTTCATACCTGCCATTGCTATTTACCAGCCCCGGATCTAAGGGGGGGGGGCAAACCGGGGCACCAGCCCCGGGCGCCAATGTCAGGGGGCGCCAAAATCATAATTTACTTAATATGGTTGAAAATCAAAAAAATTGCTCCACAAAGCGCCTAATATGCACCTTACGTTCTTCTAGCAAGTATTAATTTTATTTTAAAACGCCCAGTTAGTTTTTGAACACATTCTAAAGTTTCATTCAGAACCTCGCAATTAGTGGAATAAATTAGCAGTTTTAATAATTACACTTTTTACTTTTTAGTTTACGATGATTCGCAATGTTCAAAAAACGCAACTCATAGGTTTATTCGTTTTCCTGTTATTATCGATTCTGAATCGTCCTAGAACTCTCCAGCGCATGCGCAAATGAAATAATATCTTCATAATTCCTTCTGCGCATGCGCATCACAATTCTAGGACGGTTCAGAATCGGTAATAACAGGAAAACGAAAAAAGCTCATATTAAAATTATTATTATTTAAATTATATCCTAGCAACAGCTTGCGGTAGTCAGTTGTCAGTTGTATCCATAAAGAAAGCCAAATATTTAGCTTATAAAACAATAAACTTTTGATTTCTAACCACGATTTCTCTTGACGGATGCTAATCAATGGCCAAAATGACATTTCCCGCAAAATTTGAAGTATAATTAGTGGAAAAGTCAAAAGTTTGTTTACTTCTACTACTAATTGAAAATGACTACCATTAATTTAGACGTTCTGAATGCTTACATTAAAATTAAAGGAACAATCTTCTTCGCTAATTGAAACCACTAATTTATTCCACTAATTCGGAGGTTCTGAATGAAGCTTAAGGGCGCATTCTGTCCCGTTTACGAAAAATGCCTATCTATATCTAGATATTTGTAAGTTTTTTAAATTAATTTATTGCAAACGTTGGAGAGAGGGGGCGCTACTATCATTTTTTTGCCCCGGTTCTAAAAAATTGTAGATCCTGTGCTGCTATTTACAGATCCCTCAAAATTGGCAGATATAGAAATTCAATACCGAAAAATTTTAAATATTGATTGGCAACCTGTTTTTGAAGGAAATGTCCCAGAAGATAGCATTTCATTTTGGAAGAAAGTAATCACATTAGAAAATGCGGTAGGTCAAAAAAGGATTTAGCAGAATTTGCATTCACCCTTCTCTCATTGCCCTCTTCAAATGCAGTGGTTGAGCGTTCGTTCTCAATTATGAACATAGTTAAATGCAAAATACGGAATCAAATGATGCTTTATCTATTAAATTCAATAATGATAATAAGGAACCATTTTATCGTGAATATGTTGCGAACATTTTAATCCTAGTATAGATATGTTAAGCAGATTCACATCAAAAATGATGTATGAAAATGCAGAAGATTCTACATTATCAGAATCAGACGAGTTTGAAGAAATCATAGGGCGCAAACATAGTGAGGCATCTCGATGCGATGCTCGCCAAGATGCTGGCCGCGCTGCTCGCCAGGATGCCATATTTGAACTTCTAAAGGGTGGCTCAAAAAAGTATGAGTGGATCGCGAATATTTTTTTAAATGGAACACCTATATACAGAGTGGCGCAACTCATTCGCCTTGGTTGATTATACGAAAACGGAAATATGTAGAAATAAATGCACTGATGAAAACGCGTTAATAAAGTACTCTCCAGAAAAGTTTTCTGGGTATTTCGCCACTTGGGGGCCCTGTAAGAATAAAATAGTTATTTTTTTAACACCTTTGCGTTAATTCAATGGAGATCAACTTGTCAGCCGTATTTTACTAACAAAACAAATTTGCGCTCCCGTTATCGGAAGCGAAAAAAAACAGAACAAAGAAAAAACTATTTAAAGTATCTAACTACAACTATTCAAGAGCAGTTTAGTTTCAAGAGGGTTTTTTATCAGATACATCTATTAATTTAAGTTGGTCTCCGTTGGATTAACGCAGCGGTCTTTACAAAAAATAACTATTTTATCTTGTTGATTTTCTGGCGAGATACCCAGAAGACTTTTTTTTGAGAAATGAATCCGCCAAAAAGGTATACCGTATACAAAGTATACTGTTGAAACTGGAGTTACTCGTTGAATATTGGTATTTATTAATATAACGAATAAAATAACTTTATTTTCACATTATTTTTATATTAGTAGTTTACTCTGAGTTGAGTTTTTTCTTTTTGTTTCAGTGTTTCGAAATGACGGGATTCATAAGGATAGTTATTACATCTCCATGTGACGTACTAGCGGAAGCTTGCGATAGGATTGCTAAATTTGCGGAACGTCATTACGTTGAATAGTACCTCAGAAGCTAAGTGAAAATTATGAAAATAAAGTAGCGAATTTTTTATGCTGTGTTTAATGTAATTGTTGAATTGATATATTAAGTACTGATTTATGGGAACGAATAAAGATTTAAGTTATATCCGTAGTGTATTTATAAGCTGTTAGTATACTATAATTTTATTGATGTTTTTTAGAAGACATACTATCGCTGGCTATCTATATTGCCAATATGCCTAGTAATTATAAGTCATAGTTTATGAATTATCACCTCTCAAATTTCTTTAATTTCCACAGTGACTCACTTACCGATCGACAAAATTCTAAAGTACTTTCTAAAAAAATTCTAAAGAACTAAAGTACTAGAAATTTCACAAACTTCAAATTTTGATTTTTTGGTAGATTTAAGCTTATAATGGAAGGAAAAAATTAAAAATCTCGAAATATCCTTATGAATTAAAAGTTAGTTGTTTAGCCGCTAACGATAACGATAACGTGTCTTAGCGCCTCTCCTATTCAACATATTCATGGCAGCGCTCTCCATTATAGTGGACAGCAAACTGCAGGAGAGAGGATTGGGCATTAGATACAGATATGACGGTGGTCTGTTCAACATAAAAAGACTCAGGGCAAAAACACGTACAAAATTTATCACAGAACTTCAATACGCTGACGACTGCGCTCTAGTTGCAAACACGGTACAACAATTACAAGAAATGTTGAACAATATACCTGGGCATACGAGGCTTTGGGCCTTAAGCTGAACATCGGCAAAACTAAAATCATGTGCACTCCCCCGGAAGATCACAACAATGCTATAAAAATCGGAGAAGAACTATTCGAATATGTGGCGGAATTCAATTACCTTGGCAGTTTGATTTCGGAAAAGGCCAATATTGACTCTGAAATTCAGCACAGGATTAGTAGCGCCTCAAGAGCATTCTGGAAATTAAAAGACAGGGTTTTCTACAATCATGACTTGAGTACAAAAACAAAACTTGCAGTATACCGAGCAATTATAATCCCCACCATGATATATGGGAGCGAAACCTGGGTGCCTTACCGCCGACACATGAACGCATTGAACAAGTTGCAACAGAGACACCTTAGACAACTCTTAAGAGTCCGGTGGTTCCATCATGTCTCAAACGTATCGGTCCTTGAAAAATCTAACTGCGAGAGTATTGAAGTCATGGTCACAAAATCCCGCTTAAGATGGGCTGGTCACGTATGCAGAATGCAAGAAAACCGCATACCAAAATCTCTGCTTTACGGTGAGCTTGTGGACGGTAAGAGGAGGCCGGGTGGACAACTGAAAAGATACAAGGACATTTTCCACGAAAATTTAAAGGGAATTAACATGCAGAATGAGTGGGAAAAAGCAGCTCACAATAGAACTCAATGGAGAAGGGTTGTAAACTCAGTTAACAGCGGCAACCAAAAAGTAGAGAGGCAACAAAGAAATGAGATTTTTGAATGTCCGGAGTGCGGTAGGCAGATAACATCACGTATCGGGCTTTTCAGTCACAGAAAAGCTCATGAAAGAAAACGCCTTGCGTGACCATTTTCTTTATGTGTGTCGAATACTCGTCAGCGAGTAACGGCTGTATGTATGTATGTAACGATAACGAAGAAAAAAATAGAAAACCAGAATTAATCGATTTGATATTGACTGATTTTATTTGTATAACAGTGTTGCTTTCTGAAATATAATTTCCCACGAAAACGGTCTAAATTTTCCGTTTTATTTCCTAAAAACTCCCACGAGTTCTCAAATTCACACAGTGTTGTCAACAAAATACAAATTTTATGTTTTTTAACTAAAAATTTTAAAATTTTCCAAATAAATTTCGAAATATAATCCTCAATTTTTTTCTTCAATTCCGAAAAAAATACTCCTAGGCCTGTTCCTGGGGTCGAAATACTATCCCTAGAAATATTTACACTTATTTAAAATTCACCATGTACTCGAGGGGATAGTATAATGTCTCATGTCAACCGAAAATGTGTATTTAGTTGCGAGTGTTGCGATATGTATTATTATGCGAGTTTGAATTTACTCACTTTGCTGAGAAATGCGTATATGATAACTAAACTACTCAAAACAATTATCGCCTATTTTCTAAAAAAAATATTAATTTGAAAAACAAGACACTTTGAATCCCCTGACTTACGATTTTAAATAGTATGGATACTGTGAAGGGAAATACCTGGTACTGTCTGTTTTCAACTATGCTAATATTATTTTTTTATCCATGTTTGGATCTAGTTTCAAAAAACAGATTGCAGTATGTACAAAACGTTTGCTGTCGCTTCATTTTTGGTCTGAGGAAGTACGATCATATCTCTGCTCGTATTAATGAATTAAAGTGGCTTAAGATTTCAAACACTGTCAGGCTGCATTTCGTCATGTTTCTGTTTAAAGTTCTTAGCACATCCACCCCTATATATCTGAGTGAAAAACTTATTCCTCGTAATGTCATGCATAATTGTAATATAAGACACCATAATCAACTGACCATGCCTCAACATAGATCCGCCCTTTTTCAAAGAAGTTTTACCTATATGGCCGTCATTAGTTACAATTCCCTTGATAATGATTTCAAACAATGTAATTTTGGTCAATTGCGAAAAAAATATAAAATGTTTCTTTTATCTTCACAGGAATGATGATGGTTTTGTATTTTTTGTTTATTTTTTAAAATAATTATGCCATGTGTATAAGAATTAGCTATGTATATTTTTTAATTTGTTAGTTTATAGAACATATTTTTTGTCTTTTTTGTCTTTTGAACATATTTTTCAATAAATATCTTATGGCAGCTATGGGTGGTTAAATGTAAGAATAACTTTTTTGTTAAATTTCGCCTCCCTTGTTGCATGATGTGTAATAATATATGTAATGTTACACATCGTTTTTTCTTCAATAAAGACGATTATTATTATTATTATTATTATTAAACGCGCTGACCAGTAATTTTTATTCGGCCGACTATTTAGTTTGCAAAAGTAAAAACAATACATACTTATACATATAGTCGATCGGTCGATTATTTGATTGCATGTGAGCGCAGCTTCATAAGGATATATTGGTTACAAATATGCAACTAAATAGTCGCCCGACTAAAAATTACATGTCAGTGCGTACACTAATTATCCTAAAAAAACTCACAAGAGAAAGACAGAAAAATGCATGCTTCATTTGTTTTGGGTTAACATTTCCCTTTTCCTTCTGGATCTCGAAATTTCCCACGAGTTGGCACCACTGTTGTATACCAATGTAAAAACAATAATTCAAAGTTTATGAATTATTGCAAGTCGAACTTATTTAATGACAGTGACTCACTCACCGTCATTAAAATTCTGTTATAGATATTTATAGTCCCACAAACTTCAAATGTTAAATTTTCGCTAGCTTTATGCTTATAACGGAAACAAATTAAAATTATCAAACATCGTTATTTTTTATTTAGGCGTATAGCCGCTACCTGCAACTGACTACTGTCGACAAAATGTTAGAAGTTATAGAGTTCATTTTCATAAAGTGGTGGCTGTTGATAAAACTTATTGTGATCAACAAAATCAATGTCAAACCATTATAAAATAAAAAAATTGGCGCCAGGAGGCACGTATAGCCGCCCATACTAAAATATGTTAATATCTCGAAAACTGCGACTTTGACTGATTTTGATGTTATTATAAATTTTGTTGCAAATATTATTCCTAATCTTAATTTGAAAACCGCGTTTCGCTAGCTACTGTAATTTTGGAGTTACGATTTTTTATAATTTTTAACCCCCTCCCTTACCCTCTTACCAACCCCCCACCACCACCAAAAACTAATGGCCAGATTCTCGAGTGCTACAGTATTTTTGTGCCAAATTTGGTTAAAATCGGTTCGGCGGTTTTTGAGTTATCGTGTTACAGACGGCAGACAGACAGAGAGACAGACAGACACCATGAAAATATTTTGTATTTAGGTCATTTATGACCCAAGTAACTCATTTTGAGTGAAATTAAAAAAACTTTTTTTTGTCGATCCTAATAGCCTACCATCTCAGTGCTCCTGAAGGGTCGGCAGGTTTCTCATTAGTGGCAGAAAAAACTATTGACATATTTTGAAGTAAGGACATCTTCCTGAAAATATATCTAATAACCCTTAAATCGAACCTGCTTCTTTTAAGCGATTTTGTAGTTTTTAAGGAAATGGTATATAAAATTAAATTCTATGAGGGTTTATTTTTCCAAAAAAAATCCTGTATGAGTATTTTGCCACTGCACTGCAAGAAAATCTACAAAATAAAATAATTGTTTTTTGTAAACACTTCTGCGTTAAACCTAAACGGACGCTGCTTTTCAGAAGTTATGTTTACGGTAATACAAATTTGCCTAACAAAGCAAAAAAAAATGCTTAACGTTTCGGAAAGTTATCTCTTTCCGTCGTCGGAAGCAAAAAAATACAAAGAATAAAGAAAAAAACTATTTAAAATATTTAAATTCAACTATTCGAGAACACATTACTTTTTTAAAACAGATACGTCTACAAGAAACCGTTGACGTTCTGTTAAAATGACATTTTTTTTAACAAAAAAATATAATATTATTTAATAAAATAAAAAATTATATCGAGAATTATATCAACAATAACATTTTGTAAAACTATATTATAAATAACACAAACATGTAATTCTATTAGAAAATATCTACATTATATTAAAAATATAGTTATCCCAACAACGTTAATCAATTAATTCTACGAATATAACAAAAATATGAAAAAAAACGGCTTTGACTCAACAGCGATTTGATGAATACTCTATAACAGCCTTTAAAAGATTTTTTCCATATTGTGTATTCTCAAAAGAGTTTATTTTATATTTATTCCAAACAATTAAAAAATCCCTGTGAACCAACTTGACTCCTCCGCCTGCTCCGACCATAGTCCTAGCTTTGTAGTCCTGCTTTGTAGTAACATAACTGTTTCATGTAAATGATTTAAAATTATATGGATTATGAGCATTTGAAAAATTTCTAATTGTCTCATTATGCTTCTTAAATGCTTTATATCTGTGTGTAGGTCAACATACCATACAGCAGAAGAGAAACTTTTCTCAACAATTTTATTAAAAGCATTAAAAGCAG